AAAAAAAAAAACCCCACCCCCCAAAAACCAACCACAATCAAATGAAAAAAAAAAAAAAAAAACCACGCACAGATTTTATTGAAAGAAAAGCAGATGATAAAAGGTTAATCACTGCATATTTTTTTGAGCTCTGCAATTTCCCCAAGTTTACTCAACAGAGTCAAAGAAGGACAACAAATGAGATGACCCAAACAGAAAGAAGAGATAACCTACCAGTATCTGCTTTGGCCCCCATAGCTTGCACAGAAGCCATAGTGTGAACAATGACACCCTTGGGGAACTCTGACCATGTTGTTGGTTTGCCATCCACCGTAATAATATGTCGCAGCAGTGGAACTTGAGAAACAATTTCCTGTGGAAATGAACATGTGTTCAGAAATCAAACATGAGGTTTGTGCCAACAAGAAGGAAAAAAAAAGAAATCTATCTACTGTATACATTAAAAAAAAAAAGGCATTGACACAAAATATCTGAGGATTTAAAATATCAGAGGATAAACTTGTCTAGCTCAAACAGCTGCAAAGCTTGAAACTTTCCACATTTAGATTCGCAGGACCAATTGAACTTTTCACTTACAAGTCCAAAAACTTTTCCAACCATTTACTGATCTGGGTCTTATTTCAAGAAGAGTCCACAAATAAGACTGCAAAGATCTGTAGAGATAATTGACCTTCCACTCTCATAGAACACTGAGAAGAAAAGGTCCTGGGCAGCTGGTGACACCAAACTCACAATAATTCTTATGTTGCTCCTTGATTACTATGCTATTTAAAATAAGCAACAGCTAGCAAAAATACAGAAAATTATTAGTTAAGCACTAGTTAAGCATTTTAAACAAAATGTGAATTCTAAGACAATTATCAGTGTTTCAGTGGAAGAGGAAGAAATCGTTATCATCCCTAGCAGAAGAAATTCATCCTCTTAGTGCAAACTGAAGTAAGTGTGAATTATATATATACTATCAGTCTAGTTAAAAAAAAAGTTTGGGAAATTCTCATTCAAAATTCAGCAATAGCGCACCATTTTTATTTAAAATGGTTGTCTTATGTGAAAGGTCTAGTTCCCCCAAAACACATCATGATGAAACTCATGCAGATTTGTTGTTTCACTTGTGTATTCCATCTGGGTCAGCAAGTCAAAAAAGTTTTTTGACTGTTCGCAATGTTTAATAAGCTTTCCCCCGCACTGGAAAACAGCTCTAACTCTTCAAGCACCCATCTTTAGATTTAAGAGCCATTCTCTGCTGGGAAAACATCCAACAATAAATCAGGAGGATGATCACATTTAGCTATTCATACACAGTTCATACATTTTTCTGTTCTTCCCATTTGCTTCAACTGTTAAATTTATAGGCACTAAATCCACCCAGAAACCATAGCAGTTTCTTGTAAAGGTGTTGTTCCAGGCACCACTGCAGTTCTTCAATAGCGCAAATTGCTCATCCTGTTCTCCAAAGTCATTGAGGAGCCTAAATCCCACTGAAGGCTAACTATGTTTTTTTCTGTAGATGAAGACACATACAGAAATCTTATTCTAAAAAAAGTGTCTGCCTTATAGAAAGGCAATACATCATTGTTCTGTACAATGGAACCAGGCCTTTTAACAATAATGAACAGATACCCTGGAAAGAGGTAGACAAAGAACAGTTTTCTGACCTTCAACTTTGTTTGCATCAATTCTTTACTAGTAATGATGGTGGTCACCTCCGTTTCATTCAGCCCATGTACTATTGCTGGGCCTCCCAGAGTAGCATACAGAGTAACAACTGAAAGAGAAAATGCAGCGGGGTGGGGGTGTGGGGGGGGAAAATGGTGAATCTCTATTTTACACTTTCAAGTATAGCTTACAATAAAGGGATGAGATTAGCCTATTCCAAGTTAGGCAAAAGAGTAAAAATATTTGTCAACGAATATAAAGGTGGTATAGTTCTATGCTTTAAAAAAATACATATTACATGGACTTAAATACAGCATAATTTTCAGTTACTCCCAGAAGGAATAAAGAACAACCATCATCTATGTGACTGTTTACTATTTTTCAAATTTTTCAGACCATTTTTCAAGGTCTAACTAGAGATACCAAAACCACATTACCCTATGTAATTCTCTTCTAGATCTACTCTTGTACCTTCATGGCTTCTACCATTTTAAAAGTAGGCATCTGTTCTCAGTTTAATACACTGTTTAACAGTCCTCTTGTACGCAGGAAAGAAACAGCTTTCCTTTGCATGACTTCTGTTTTCAGAATTCACATGCTCTGTTACTAGCCTTTTACAATTGACTGCTAACAAGAAGTTATTGTAACATTGTAACACATCATCAACAGATTAAGTCTCACACTCAATAATGAATTTGTGACTATCATATTCTCCCACCTATTTAAAACAACATTTTTTAAAGGTTTAATCATCACAATCATTAGACATTGAACTGACGTCATGAGAATACAGAACAGCAAGGAAAGAAAATATTTAGGAAATTGACTATTAGAAACACTGTTTCCTGTATTTAAGGACAGCTCACTAGTGATAGTGTTAAACCACAATCATTTCATATTAACAATTTTTAAATCTTATTTAATTTCTTGCCATTTTTATGTGAACTGCATGGGAAAAGACAGGAAGAGACTGGGGAAGAAAAAGGCAGCTCAAAAAGGTAGAGAGGTACTGCTCTCAAAAAAATAGTAATTTCTTATTTTCCAAGCAGAATGCTACACAGGGGCATCCCAAAAAAGTGGTAAGATCAACACAATCAATAATTACAACATCAGTGCTGGAAGTTTTGGTCACATCAGGTATCTGAATTTCTTTTGTATTTTAGTCTGGATTTAGATGAATACTTAAACAACATAACTATTAAAACAAGACACCCCATTGTATGTTAGGGCTGTAACTACACTATATTCACTGCAGAAAAAAATAAAAATAAAATAAAAACAAACTCTGTTGTATTCTAAGATTTGAAATCCAGGGTGTTACTAACCCAGTGCAGCATACTAAGGAGGAACTCAAAAGCAGTTTTGTTACAGAGAAAAGTAAATAGTTGACCTCTACTTATTTTTCCCTTGTTAAAACAGTCCATCATAGTTCAGAACTGTTGCAGGGCAAATGCACATGCACTGTGTTTTCTTTAATTTGGTGGGAGCAAAGTCCAGAAGAGTGCCTCTACTAGTTCCCACGAGCTCTCTCTACTTACTGCAGTGACCCCTGTTATATAAACATCTAGCAGAAATTCAGTTTCCCCAAGCCAACAGGCACAACCAAGATGACACACCGCCTGGAAAGAGAAGTATAATCTCCAAAATAACGATTTATGTAGTTGATTACTCATCTGCAAAGAAGTACACCAAGGACAACTTAGAGCTATATGACAGACCCCAAGAGAAACAGAGGTACACCATTTATATGATGCTGTACTGACATCATGGAGAAAAAAAACAAACACTGAGCAATTACTCTGATCTGTGAAATTCTCACTTCTCCACACTGGCACCTAAAACTTTTTCAGGCAAATCTGGAAGTTTAGGTAGTTTTTCCTCTCCTTTTTCTCTTGAAGACATACCTAGAAGGGATTGCCTTTTGTGTTCGTCTTTACACATGCAATAGTACAAGTGAGTCTTTGATATCTGGCCTTCTGCTAGGAATACTGCTCTGAAAGTCTGGCAAAAAGAAAGATCTCAACACCACTAAATTTGCCACCTAATACACAAGAACAAAGCCTTGCCCTAAAGAAACAAATAGAACTTTTGCCATTTATTTCAATGTAACTAAAATGTTAAACTGAGTTTTTCAGCATCCATCATACATAAAAAATAAAAAGCAAAGTATACCTTTAAAGGCTTCAGCCAAATCAATTCTGACACAGCCACTTCTGCTCAAGCTTCAGGAAGGCATGATTGAAAAATGAAACATAACCTTTCCTATTTATTTCATCATTTGGTTATACACTCAGGTGTTTTATCTGCCCACACTGGTGAAGAGCTCTTCACACAGATGAAGAGGAGATAACTTTGGAAGAAAATCTGTTTTCATGTTGGTACTTCTCCCCATCCCCCAATTTTTTGAACTAGCAATCCCACTCGACCTACTGTTAATACAAGACTTAGATAGGTTCAAACAATGTAAAATTTACAATCAAGTAAGTATGTCTAATCATAAAACCACTTGTTTGTGCAAGTAATCCATAACATAAAAATTACTTTCCCCATTTTAATTCTGTAGTACAAAAGGCATTCTCTCCAACACTAGGTATGAAGCAGATGAACCTGCTCTCTTGGCATCCGTTCTGGGCACGTACCATCAGATTTAATACACTTCACATTCAGAAAGAATGTCACAACACTACCACAGCAGTTAGCTGTTGTGAAACTTGTAAACTGAAAAATGATAATGTAAGTCATTTAGCAATATCTTACCACACTACTTCTTCAACATCATCTGAATGTTATAATTCATTCAGCAAACCAACTATGTGAATACTGCATAATAATATCATCATCTGCCAACACACAAGTCAGCCAAGTTCACATAAGATGACATACAGCTTAGATGCTAAATACCACGTCAGACAGTGTGCCGAAGCACGTCTCAATAAGGAAATTTAAAACATTAATCCAACAAAACCAAAACCACATGCACACTATTCTACACATGACATGCATCTGCTATCGCAGATTTTTTTTTTTCCCCTTCAAATTACAAAATCTTCCTAGGATTTCTAAGTGTACTTCACTTCCAAAGAAAAAATAATTGATACAAGCCTTTGACCTTTATTCCCCGGATAGTCACTAGGAATCTAACAGATCCCAAATGTGATAAAAGGGAACTGACACAGCGTATTATGAGACATATCGTTTAAAAGCAACACAGGCATCTCATCTGAGAACAGCCTGTGCGGATCTCTGCTCTGGCAGGCAAGTTAGCAGCAGTCACTCACTGAAGAAAGGACCAAAAATATCACTGCATTTAGGCTGCCAGGCACCTGGGAAGATCACCTGCACAAAACAGTTCATTAGAGCAACGTGGTCAGGGCCACAGCCAGTACGGTTTTAAGTATCTCCAAGGATGGAGATTTTGCAACCATTCTAGGCTCCTGTTCTGGTATTTAACCACCCTCACAATGAAGACGTTTGTCCTAATATCTAATCAAATTTTCCTGTGTTTCAACTTGTGCCTGTTGCCTCCAGTCTTAGAAAAACACACCTTTGCGCGGAGTCTGGCTTCATCCTCCCTGTACACTCCCATTAGATAGTTTTAGACAGGAACAAGATCTCAACTCACTTATCTTAATGCTGAACAGACCCCGCTCTATCAGCCTCTTCTCATATGTCACGTTCTTCAACCCCTTCAGCATCTTGGCAGCCCTCCACTGGACCCATTCCAGTACGTGAAGGTCTTTTTCTACTGGGAAGCCCAAAACTGGGCACAGTACTGTAGACGTGTTCTCACCAGCGTCCAAATGCAGGAGAAAGACCACTTCCCTGGACCTGCCTGCTACACTCATGCTACTACCACCCAGGATGCTGTTGGCCTTCACTGCAAGAAGGCACTGTGTACTCATGGTTGACTCACTATCAACCAGGACCCCCAGGTCCTTTTCTGCAAAGCTGCTCTGTATCCAGTTGTCCTCCAGCCTATACTGGTGCATGAGGTTATTCTAGCACACGCATAGGAATTTGTAACTGCCTTTCTTGAACTCCATGAGGATCCCGACAGCCCACTCGTTCAGCTGACAGGCCCCTCTGAGCATCGGCCCTGCCCTCCAGTACACTGGCTGCTCCCACCAACTTGCTACAGGCTGTGAGCTGCTGTGTTTACACTCTGTCCCATCATCCAGATGTTCAATAAAGACATTAAACAGTATTGGACTCTGTATCAATCCCCAACGGCTGGTAGCTAACTTTGTCCTGCTGATCACGATCCTTTCAGCCAATGGACCAATGAATTTTCCATCCATCTTACCAGCTACTCATCCAGTCTCTATCGAAATAGTTTGGATGTACAGATACTACAGGAGACCATGTCAAAGGCCTTGCTAAAGTCACAGCATACAACATCCACTCTCTCCTTCTCTGCAGAGCCAGTCATCACACAAGGCAAGCAGGCTGATTTCAAAACAGTATGGGCTAGGGCGGTGCACCTTCTAACCAACTCCACCCTTAAAACTGAGGGAATAATACAGCGTAAGGGTATACACAAAATAACCACACAGACCCGCAGTAAAGACTCATTTAAATGAAAACTGCTATATACTCATGAACATACGGCTTCTCAAACTGGAACAGACTCATGCTTAGAGCAGAGAGGGACCATTTAAGATACAATTTTCTTGTTAGGCTTGCTTCCAAAATCTGAAAAAAGTCTAATTGATATACATCTTTAGTGTAGGTAGGTAGGAATTTCTGCACATCTGGCTTTTACAGCCCATCTCTTACTGAAGGAGGGTAAATGTGGCATGGGAGAGAAGAGGCCAAACCTGTGAGGAACAGCAGCTTCTAGAGTGCCCTATGGGAAAATGAGAAATGTCCCCTCTGAGAACATCACAGAACTCAGCCAGGCTGGGCTTACAGTTAGACAGAATGACATATTAAGGAGTGATGATGAAACAGACATTTGAAAACAATTCCTATACCAAGTTGAGATCAGCACTCGATAGGTTTCTCAGCAAGAAAAATAGGCCGAGAGCTCCTATGCATATCCTTGTACCTAGACTCAGACTAGGTTACAGTATACAGCAGGCTTTCCACCGTGGCAGAGGTGTACCTCGGACACAGCTGTGGTCCTCTACATGACTTGAGTGAAAGGGGAGCAGACTTGGCTTTGCATTTGTCTCTGCCCTGTGCTGTGAAGTGAAGCCGTGCAGTGAAGCTGTGCAAGGACACCTCCAGCCAGTCTGTCCTATTCTGCCACTCCTCAAAGGCACCTCCAACACAGCCTACAACTGCCCGGTGTACACATCCTGCCAAGGAAGCACCTCCTCCTCCTTGAGCAGATCCAGCTCTGCCCCAACACAGTTAGTGGTCTCCACAATAAAACAGCACAGGACTAAAGGATAAGTAACTAGAAGTTACAGAATGGGACTAAGACTGTCATCAGACAGAAGAGCCCAAAAGACACTTCTCTTATGGTCACTCCATGAGAGAATGCGGAGTATCGTCCAGGTCAGAGAACCCAGTCTCAGCCCACTGCCAGGGTTAAGGATCCAGTTAGTGTATGACTAAACCAGATACTGTGAATGAGAGTGAGACTGACTTTAAATAGCTCACCAAAACTAAACACAGTCTTACGGTTTTTGAAGCAATAACTAGGACTCAAGCTTGTCCTTAAGCGTAGTCTCAAATCAGCATTCAGGTTAAATTAGAATGTATTAAATGACGTGCAATGGAGTATGATGAAGTCAAGAGGTAGAGAGAAGAAAGAAAAATATAAAAATACAAAAAATTATATCAGGCTCAGCCTAAGGTTTGAGTTAAAGAATGACTTACAGTTTGGTAAAGGAGTTACTAAGCAGCTTTTTAGTTTGAAAGAGCTGCAAAGTAACTTCAGGACTTACTCATTCCTTTTCATTTTTTTTAGATATAACAATACAATGGACTCTAACCAAAACCAAAATTGAAGAGTTGACAAAATATCCAGTTAAAACAAAATTTACAGGCAGAGATGACAGTTTGACGCCAACTCCTGAAACTTAGTCAATGAATTCATGTGTGATTTTTGTTTGGTTTTAGAAATTTGGAAATATGTACTGATTTGAGATTAAAAGAAAATAAACCTCTCACAAATTCATTGAGCAAGATACACTTACTGAAACCTTACTCCAGCTGCAAACAGATACACGTTTCTCCATTCAGTAAGGCGAAACACTGCAAAGTGCACAGTCTCTACCTTATGCAGTATTTTTTATTTGTAGTTTTAAATGCTCCATATAAACTTTATTTAAAGTTTTCTCAGTGTGTAAAGTGAAGTAAGAAAAAGGTTTGTTTTCAGATTGTGGTGTAAGATCAAACAACAAAAATATTTTAGGAAAGACGCATACTTACGCTGGTAATTGCACATAAAGCAGGCCTGCGCTGCAATCATCCACTCAGCTCTAGTCTCACAAAAGATAGCAATGTTAGTCTTTGGTTGCTGACCCAATACTGCTAAGCCGTTTCCAAAATTAACAGCTTTAATGTATACATCTTCATATGAAAGCCAGGTGTACTTGCCAAGGATGACCTAATAAGAAAAATAAATTCAACTTAGAAAACAAAAATCCTTAACACATGTCCTGCTACATCTTTATCCAGGTGGAGAAACCACAGATGTTTGAAGTAAAAGTTGCTTAAATTCTAAAAGCAGTGTATTCGAGATAACGAATAATATTCTTGCCAATAACTACACGGGCTGTGGAAGTTCCAGAACAAATACTGCAATAACTCCATGCACGTTATCACCTCAGTTTCTGTTTTCACATTAGGAAAGCACATGATTCCCACCGTATTTCATAGCTTCAGAAGACCTCCAAAAAGCTGTGGTTATCTGACCCATATGCCTTTAGATTTTTTACAAAGGTTTGTTTTAAATAAAGGGTGACAAACACTAGCTAGTACAATACATACTCTATATTTGCTTTCTTAGGTATTTGGGCTATGATCCTCCTATACAAATAGGATACCTAGGTGTTTACTCTTATAAAAATACAAAAAAACCCAGGGAAACTGGAATCCAGAAAGCAGTATATCAATGGGTCTTAAGTCAGAAGTTGTGAAATCCCCCTCCCTTTGTTCTGAAACAAATGTCAGGGGGAAGAGGAGTAATCTTTTTGCCCTTTTCTACTGCTAAACAAAAGCGGGACAGAAGACTAGACTGGAAATTACTGGCAAATCTCAGTACTGAAAAGTCATGTGGAAAAAGTTAAGCAATCTCACTTTTCTTCTATATGGGAAAGCTGGTAGACAGTAAAATTGGATTTGAATTTACAGTTCATTGTCACAGATTTCTATGTGTGCACTTGCACCTTACAGTACTATTTTCTCACTGAGTGATAGGTTATTTCTTTGATGACATCCTAGAAATTTTCATATACAGATACAGTACAAAGAAGATGTTTTGCACTGAAAAAACAGACTCAAATTATTATACCTTACCTGTCTATTTATACAAGCACCTTGACAATTTTGAAAACTAGTTTTTATTAGTTAAGTATTTCGGACATTTCTTTTGACTACATAGCATTAGTAATAAATGCAAGCAAACTATTTAAAAAAAAAAAAAAGGCTAGAAAAGCAAATTTCTCCCTCCTCCCTCTAATTCTGTTTTCCAGATTTCATTTATCAACTTTAACTAAATTTCAAACTTGTGGGCTGTAAAACCTAACAACTTTTTGGCACGTAACTACATTTCTAATGAGTCTGTATTTCCACATCCACTTCCTTAATAAAATGAATTTGAAAATCTCTCTCAAACTCTAATAGAAAAATAAAATCTAATCGATTTCTTCTATCAATACACTTTTTCAAACTGCTGAAGTTTACTATTGGGTAACTGAGCTGTACCTACTACAGCCTTGCTGCACATTACTCATTAACCTGCTTGTTTAATAGGACAAACCTTTCTTAACTCAGGACAGGTATATGTGCAGCTGCTTGGAAAATTCACAAATGTTTTCATGGAAAAGTATCATTTAACAAAACCGAAAAAACACTACTTGCCAACAATAGCAATAGTTAGCAATTTCACCAGAAAACAAACATTTCTCACACAAATATCTGCTCAGGTTTTCCCGTTGTATTTACAGAAACTCAGCTTCATTGGCAAATAGAGCCAAAAACCTTACTGGAGAAGAAAAATCACATTGAATTTCTCTGCTGTAACTGGTGAGAGAATCACAGCAGAACTGCTGCCTGACCACATCCACAGCACCGTGGGGCAGAGGGCTCACATGCTACCCGCGCTCAGAGGTATGGCCCCACAAAGAGGAGGACCTGGGAGTTCCTTTCCATTTCAACACACCAAGATATTCCTGGTGTGGAAAACTTTTACTGCTGCCAAAGAAAATATCGCACTTCTTCCTGTCCCTCCAAATTCCAGTAATTTGGAATTTTAATTCCAATTTGGGACATTTTTCCCCCAAACACAGTATTTTTAGCAGACTTGGAAAATTCTTGACAAGCTCATCAGTTGAAAACAATTCACAGAAATTAACTGGGTAACACCCTTTCCACCATGACACTCTACCTACAGCGTGGCCTCAGGGATGCTGCTCTCAAATAATTAGGCCAAGAAATACAAGCAGATTCTTGTTACTGTTTCTGGTAAGTTTGCCAATCTGTAAATGAACAGGTTTTGGTAATTCCCACCATTCACTGTGTAACTCACTAAAGTTGAAATAATAAATCATTAAAGGGTCAAAAATGGATCTTTCTGAATAACACTTGTGATTCTGATTTTTTTTCCCTTTTTTATTCTCTTAAATAATTTATCCTCATTGTTTAAACAAGTTTGATATAAATTAGTGAAAGAAGGCCTTATTGGTGCTTTCCTTTCTTAAGAGGTTAGAAAACCCACAGCAAGTAAGTATAGCACTGTTATAGTTATTTTTCTATATATAGAAATATATTTCCGAAGAACACTGATGTGTGAAAACAGATGAGAAGACGTTTTTCAATGCAGCTACTTTCAGTTTTACTGTTCCTACTTCCTTCCATACATTTATATTCCTGTCGCCTTCCTCCCCATACCCAGCATTTCTTCTCTATTCCCTCCCTGTGACATATTAATATACTGCCTCTGTCCATATGTCCCTTTCTTCTGCATTTCCCTATATGCTTCTTTTGCAGGACACAGAGCAGGTTATGGTTTATCTCATCCTTCCTTATGTTTGAGTCTCCAAATCCATCTCCCTTCTTGGCCTTTCCCTCAGTAGCTTTCACTAATATTTTCTAATGTACAGCTTCTACTGTAAACAATTGTTAAGACTGATGTTAAGTGCTATAATCTTTTAAATGTTCACACACGTTTAATTTTACAACTTTCAGAACTTATTACTGCTAGATAACTACTTACATATATCAAGAAAGTAACTGTCCAAGAGTTTGCAAGAGAAGTGCCCAAGAAGTCAAGATTATTGAGAATTGATTAAACAGGCACAAAACCAAACACTAAATCAGAAGAGACAGCACCTCTGAATGTTTCTGTCGACATACTACATTAAATGGAAAAATGCTGCCCTCTAGTGCACCAGCTTTTAAACACACCTAAACTGCAAGTTATAATAAAATATTTATCTATTTAATGCATTGGAAAATATCAGTACTGTATTAATATTTGGAAATCCAGAAAAGTATAGAGATTAAATACTTGCTGCACAGTGAACATTTCGTTAATATGGATTTTAGGGCAACCACATTCAAATTTTTAGGTGAAGGTGCCATAAAATGTTCTCAAAAAAGCTGCAGGCACACGTAGAGTCATTAAACTACCTGATCTCAGTTACCTTTCAAGGTCTTCCTAAAAGTAGCTTATAAGGCTTGAAGAACCTTGACTACAATTTGGAAAACACTGACCATGAATTAAATACATTTCCTTATGGAAAGCACATTAAAAATAATACAAAGGAGGTTATTTGAAATGTCCATTTTTGGCCTTTATCACATGAAAACATGGATTGCAGCTGAACACTTCTGAAAAACCCCACCCTAAAATATTATTTACAAAGCAGCGCATGTTTTTCAACATCATAAGCTACTCTTTTACTGCTCAATGACTTGGCATGGCAAGAATCTTCCTGCAACTTCACAGTAAGTTTCCTATCAGCTGTAAGGAGTAACATTCTGAATTCCCAAGTGCTTGCCCATGTGCTTACTGTTTCACCTAAGTCTCATAGGCTTTAGATACATTACTTTCCCCTACCAAAATCATGTTTATTTTTCCCCACTTTGTCTTATTTATTATGTTTCCATTAATTCTGTTCTTGGTTACAAACCCTTTTTAAAGACAGAACAAAACAAACACACGCGCCCAAAAACAACAAAAGAACACACACACACAAACAAAGCAAAATCCACATACCAACATATATAAAAGCAAGAACATGACAATATAACCTATAACTAAGACAACATAAAATAGTCAACCAGCAGAATAAAGTTCATCTTTTGGGCATCATAAAATTTAAGCTCTGCTTAAATTAATTAATTTTTCCAATTAATTACATCTTAATCTCTGAAGTATTTTCAACATTATTTTATCCTGACTTAAATACGTATTTGATGAAATTAATATTAGGTATGCTCTCCAATCCATGTATTAAAGGACATTACAGAAGGGAACAGAAAAATGAACTACATATGAAATACTACGAAATACAAAGTGAGCAGAAGCAAGTATTTGTATTTTATTACCATCCATTACTTTCTGCTACTTTGGCAACTACACAGGAATAAATAAATCTTTTGAACAATGTCATATCATAAAAATTCAATAAATTACAGATTATCTGGGATATCACTGTTCTCAGAATAAATTAATGTAGTATCTGATCTTAAAAATGTTAAATATCTAGCTTTAAATAATTTTAGCTAGAAGTATGAGTACACTTAGTTCTCCTAAGAATCAGACAATTATTTTGAGATATGTATTTACCCCATTAATGAATCATTAATTAGGCTAATCTAGCCCACTGCAATTTGCACAGAGAGACATTTTCTAATAGGTAATGCAATTCAGTACACAGACCCATGATCTACATTCAGATCTGCCCCTGACTTGCAGATGACCTCAGAAAAATGCATCAATCATTCCCACCACTGTGTTCAATTTCTGAAAGGGAAAAAAATAATTAACAAGCTTTGCAACTCCTGTAAGGCATAGAAATTATATGCATTACATCTAAGAAATAAAATTGTCATGTACCTTTTTGAAAAGTTGCACCAAATAAACCTCAACAAGTTGCCTTTACTAAAGGGAACCAGGCAATAAAAAGATACATGTTATGAAAGACAAAAATGAAAAGGAAAAGAACCCTGACATTTAGGATCAACAAAGTATCTTGTGAAATTTCACGATTTTTCTCACTTGCCAAAATATGTCACGAGCTATTAAGAAACACTGTATTCCTTAATGGAAAAAAAAATTAAAAGTAGACTTATGTGATAATGCCACAACTTGGAACAAAATACCACGAGGGCAAGTATGGCAATTGACCATAATGAACTGTTGTGTCAAGCTTAGACAAAATTACCTAAGTTAGGTAATTTCTAAGTCTAAATACTTAGAAACAAGTAATCTAAGTAGGTTAACACCAACATTCTTCAGCTTTCCTATATTCAGAACACTTTGCTTACATAATGGAAAAGGCTAAAACTCCTAAGTTCAAGCCTTGCATTACTAATTATGCTTAAAAACAGAGCACAGATCATGGGCAGCCAAAATTCTGACGTGTGCTCAGAAGCCCGCTTTGTACAAGATGAACTTTCTGTTTCTTTATAGGGCAATAAGGCAGCAAAACGTGCATCAAGAAAGATTATACGTACCCATTTCTCCCAGCATTTCCTTCATACTGAAAAATTAACTCCATAGCTGGAAGTTTCACTAACAATTAAAGCTTCTATGAGACTTTAACAGAACTAAACTTTGCCATGTATTGTGATATTAACCAAATTCCACTTTAAACATTATACTCCTAGATCAGAATTAAAGCTAGCAGTATTTAAGGAACCCTTTATTATATGAAGACAGAAATTTTTCTTCTGCAGGAAAACTAATCTTAACTAAAAATTGTCTTTATAGCGTGTAGTTAACAACTTTAATACAGAAGTGCAGACCTTTAACACATATCCGCACATATACACATGTCCTGTTAATGGTACCTTGACTTGCTTCTTCAGGCAAAACTACATTTTTAAATGCCTCTAAACAAATACAAAGCAGCAACTAATAATACAGGCCTGAACTTAAAAGACTATAAAAAGTCAGTCCCTTGAAACAACAAAGTTTTACATTGAAATTACATTTCCCACACACACCATGATTACAGATGAGCAGAGAAGTAGTTCACCTTAAAGGAGATTGG